GCAATGCCCTCCCACTTTCCCTCTGTACTGCAATGCCCTCCCACTTTCCCTCTGTACTGCAATGCCCTCCCACTTTCCCTTTGTACCACAATACCCTCCAATTTTCCCTTGTCTGGGGCCCTGGGGGTGCCGGCAGTCAAGCGTAGGGCTGCTGACTGCACGAACGGCAGTTCAAGCCTGCCAGCGGCTCCGCAGGAGAAAGATGAGGTCGACTGCTCCGGTGAAAATGACAGCCGTGGCAATCTGTAGGACATGACAGCTCTGTCTGGTAGGGTCGCTGGGGTGGGCTGGCCTTCCCTGACGGCAGGGGTTGGTTCCCCACACCCTGATCTATGAAGCGGGACTGGGGTAACTGAGAAGCCCAACTGCAAAATCCAAATCCACTGCCATCAGGTGGTTTTCGACTCACGGGGACCTACAGGGCACAGGAGAACTGCCCCTTTGGGTGTCCAAGCTTGTAAATGTTTACAGAGCAAGACGGCCTCCTTTCTCCCACAGAGCGGCTGATGGGTTTGAATCACCAACCTTGTGGTTACCTACCTAGTGCTTACTAGATGTGTTCCTCAATTCTGCCAGAGGGTCTGGGATCTCCCTATTGAGGCCCAGGACAACGCACATTCCCCTCCCCGCTGCAGGCCCACTGACTGAGAAGAGCAGGAAACAGGGATTGCAGGGCTCCTGGGTGATTTCTGGGCACTCCGGTCTGAGCACCACAGAGCCCAACATTGTCTCTTCCTCCTTTTTAAAAATACACTGTGACCACACCATGTGCCACCACCTTTCCGGTTGTCAGGACCAAGTATGCAGGGGGCTGTGCTCAGTGCGCTCACCTTCTCTGTGCAAGAAAGGCTGCACTCACCGGACAAAACGCCTATCTGTAATGCCATTCAAATAGGATGCCTATCAATTTTAACCAACTGGGAGAAGAGGCGAAATTAAAAACAAAGATCTATCACTGCCTCTCCATAAGCCAACTGTGATAGGTAGGTTTATTGTGCCAACCTGGCCAATAAGAACATGTGGGATTAATAAGGTCACAGTTTGATTGGAGGGCAGAGAAAAATGGCTCGGTGAGCCCCACCTTTCTCTTGCTCTTGGTGATCGGACCAGTGTGCAGCTGCCTTAGCTAGTTCTATGCCTCAACTTGTGGGCTACACTACCTGTGGGACAGCCAACCCATGGATTATGTCACTAGAGCTTGAGGTTCCTTCGAGACCTCCTTCGCCACGCTGCTGGTGTGTACATCGCTTGAAGTGGGGACTGTGGGATCCCATCACTGGCTAACTGCTGGTGACCCACCCTGCTGTTTGCTGCCTGTGGCTGGACTGCCTGAATTGCCCCACAGAAGACTCAGCTGTCTGCTTCCTTGACTTGCACCCAGCAGCCCTCGTTGAGTTGAAGGGCTCCCAGTATATTAACTGTTTCATGGAAGTGACTTGACCTGAGCCCTCTGTACTGCTTTGTGGACTCATTGGGTGTTAAATTCCTTCATGCTGTTTAAGTGTCCTGATTTTACTTCTCTAGAGAACCCTGTTTAACACACCAACCTAAACACTAAACTCACTGCCAGGGATCAATTCTGACCAGCAGCGACCCCACTGGACAGTGCAAAACTCCACGGGGGCTCCAAGCCCGCCGGGCATCCTGGACGCTGGCTGCCACCTCATCATCATGTCGGGGAGACGCAGGCTGGCTCACAACCCCACATTTAGCCCCAGGCACCCCCCACAATCCTGTGTGACTGACACGGTGCAGTCACAGAACCATAGGAACCAACCTCCCTGCCCTCTGAGTCGATGCCGCCCCACGCCACCCTTGGGGACAGGGGGAACAGCTTGTCAGTCTTCTCAGGGGAGAGGCTGGTGGCTTTGGCATCTGACGTGAAAGTTAGCAGCCCGACAGGGACTCACTCTGCTACAAGGGCTCCTGAAAATCATAAAAAGGAAATGAAGACGGAAAACGTCTGTCTGTTACCTCAGAATGCTTGACTATGGCTTCCAAACAGAAGGTTTCTACTGTGGCTGAAGGGGCTTTCCCGAAACTTTCCATGTAAGGCAAGCCATTTCCACCAAAACACCATAAGCCACCCTGAAAATCAGAGAATTTGAATTTTTACCATTAAAAAAAATGACGGATATCATTTGATAGAACGAGTCTCAGCATAACACACGACGTTAGCCAGCACTTTGCTGAGCACTAACTCGCTGGCCCAGCAGTCGCTCCATCTGTTGTCCATGGCGGCTTTCCTCTGGCTCTGAGGCTGGAAGCTAGGCCAGCAGTGTTGGTGGAAGCTTCCCGCAGAGCTTCTAAACTCAGACAAACCAGGAAGGAAGGTCTGGCCATTTACTCGGAAAATCAGTCCATGAAACCTTATGGGTCATTGTGTTTGGTGGAGCAGAGGTCAAGGAGGGCAACCCCCAGCAAAGTCATCGTGACAAAGGAATGAGCGTGTCGGAAACTGTGGGGCTGACACAGGACCCGGCGAGGGCTCCGCCAGGAATCAGTGTCTCTACGGCACCAACAGCACAGGGCAAACAGAAAGGGACTCTTAGGTGAGGGCTGGCCCCGGACACGGTACCTTGGAAAAAGCGGGCACCTACCTCTACTCAGTGAGGAGAGGGTGGGCACCTACAGACAATCAACGAGGGAGGGGAGAGTGGGCACCCACAGCCACTCAGTGCGGACTGCAGCTTACCTTCTGAGCAGCTAGACTCTGACTGGTTTCGCTCAGAGCCAAAGATGTAAAATATTGGATACATTCGTCCACTTCTGTTTGTGGCAAAGCTGCCAGCAAGTGCCTGAGCTCCTCCTCAATGGAGGAGTCCTGCAGAGAAGGAAGCAGTCTTCAGGAAGCAGCTCGATGGCTGAGAGCCACACCCAGTACCCAATACAGGACGGACGGGAACACACACACACACACACACACACACACACAACTGAACACAACACATGGTGACAGAATCATGGTGAAGCCAGTCACGTCCAGGGTGGATGTGGAGGACACTCTGCTGAGTGAAGTCAGTCAAACACAAAAGGACAGATATTGCATGAGATGGCTGTTCTAAAGGGGAAAACATGAAGAAATGGACTGACGGCTGTCGAGGAGGAGGGGAGGGAGAGAAACCACAGCAATACACTAGAGCAGTGGTTCTCCACCTTCCTCATGCCACGACCCTTTCACACAATTCCTCATGTTGTGATAACCCCCCAACCATCATATTATTTTCATTGCTACTTCATCATTTTGCTACTGTTATGAATCAGGTGACCCCTGTGAAAGGGTCATTCTACCCCAAAGGGGTCATGACCCACAGATTGAGAACTGCTGCACTAGAGGGTAAAACTCAATACCATCAACTCCCTTCTGACTCACAGCGATCCTACGGGGCAGGGTGGACTACCCGTGCATTCCGAGACTGTAACTCTCTATGAGCGTAGAAAGCCTTGTCTTTCCTGCACGGAGCAGCTGGTGGTTTCAAACAGCTGACCTGTGGTCAGCAGCCCAGCTTGTAACCACTGTGCCAACAGGGCTGAAGCTAGGGAAGATAATATTCTATGAAGAAGAGATGGGGGAGGGGATAGCAGACAGGGCAAGCCACTGAGAGGCATGAGTGACAAGTTGTTTAAATTGTGGAAGATAAAAATGATGATCTGAGGGGAAAAATGATCTGAAATGTAAACTCCTACCTGTTTATTTTAAAAAAGAACAAAGCCAAGAAGAAAGATGGGCAGAAAGAAATGGAGTCAGTCTTGATAACAGGCAAATACACATCCACACAGATAGTCAATGAACTTCGAATTCTATAGCTTCGTGTCTGCACCCTGAATCTGCAGGAAAGCTAACCCGAGCCTGCCCCTCGGCTATCAGTGTGCTGTACTGGGGGGGCTTGTGAGCTGCCAATGACCCTGGAAGCTATGCCAGTTCTCAAATACTAGCAGGGTCACTCGTGGTGGAGAGGTTTCAGCAGAGTCCAGACTAAGACAGAATAGGAAGAGAGGCCAGGCGACCTACTTCTGAAAATTAGCCCGTGAAAACCTTCCAGAGCACACGGCCCCAGAGAGCTGAGAGATGCGCCTGGGGGTGGGGGGGAGCACTCCAAATACACAGTAGCCTCAAGAGCCCTGAGCGCGCCAAGCACCCAGGAGACGGCCAAGACTGGGTGGCACCTGCTCTGTGGTACAGGAGTCCCCAGGCGGTGGGGCCAGCTCAATGGCAGAAGTCACCACAAAGGCATGGACACTCCTATGCTGTCAACAGAGACCGCTGCTGTCTCATTACCCAGAATACTCATTTTTCAATTTCACAAAAACTGCTGGCCTAGATGTTTGGAGTTTTATGTTTTCTTGTGCACTGGGTGACAGCTGACAAAGGTATCAGGAGGGTTGCTTCCCGCCTGGGTGCCTGGTGCCTGGCTGCCCGCACCAGTGCCCACCCAGGGCCAGCCTGGCTCCCAGGGAGCACACAGTCATGGCTGGGGACACTGGTGGAGTCAAGCGGCATTTAGCAAACAGAGGCCAGAGACACTGCTAAGCACCCTACTGTGCGCTGTGGCATAAAGCAGCCCCCGTCCCAAAGGAGGACTCGGTGCCGAGGCCAAGAAGCCGCTAACTTTCCAAAGCCGGGGCGGACACATGCTATGAAGTTATCCTGTGGGATGGACACCCACTAGGTAGATTCCTATTCAGTGTAGTGCACGCCATAAGGTGGAGTGAGGCCATGCATCTGCCACTACTCTCCTGCTAAGCAGCTGGTGGGCCTCACTCTGGCATTTCAGTTAGCAGCCCATCTTGGCTCATGGCGCCCCCAAGGCATACAGAGCTGCCCGGTTCCCAGAGGAGAGCATAACGGGAAGAGCAGCAGCCCGTATGGAATGGAGACAGCTCTGTCCGGAAGCAACCTGGTCAGGGTTCCTGCCTGGGCGCCTGTTGAAGGTCGGCTTGCACCCAGATAGTGGCGATGGATTCACGTACCTCTTTCAAGGCTGGCAGAGGTGGCGGTGGGAGGAAAAAGCGAAGATCGCTCTCTTGGCTTCGGGCCAGGCCGACCAGCGTCCTCAGGTCGCAGGCCTGGGCGATGATGCGGTATTGGTAATCTGTCGGCAAAGAACATTACACAGCCCGGCCGCAATGACGGGTGAGGAAACTCTTTAAACCGCTACCCAAGCGTGTAGTTCAGAATGCCACTGGACATGCATTCCCAACTGCTTTTACCTCTAAGCTCAGACCCCCACCTTTATGTGTGCTGATTCACATCACCTCAAAACACGGCCGGCCACCAGCTCACACTCTATGAACCCTTTGTGAAAAGAACAACATGTCAATGGGGAAGTGGACAGGTCAGAACCCAGCTTTGTCATCATCCCAGCTGTCAATAGCTGTGGTCGCCATGGGCACTCCTGAAGCTGCACCTGAGTCCCAGGGGCCTGGGGCGGGGGGTGTGCTCCTGTGAGGTCCTAGATGCCGGCACTCTGTCCCCACCTCACGATGTCAAACAGTCTGGCTTTTATGGGCCCAAACCAAATTCCACAACAGAGCAACAAGATCTAAGGCAGACATTCTTTTGGATAGCGTCAGTCTTCAACCGAGGTGGGCACTTCTGGGTCAAGTGGGGAGCTTGCTTCCTGGCCTGTTCTGAACACAGCCCGGAAGGCAGGTTCTGAGAAGGAGCTTTATTCTATGGCTCCACTAACATTAAGGAAGTTTATAGTCACATTGACTATAAACTTGGTTCTGACGTATAACAACACTATGCACCATTGCCACAAGTGTACTGATGCTTGAGCTTGAGCCTATTGTCATGGCCCAATCCATTATATTGAGGGTTGTGGCAGTTACTCAATCTCCTGTCAACTTGAGCGAAGGGGTGAAGTCTAGCCAGTCAATCGGGGCACAGTTTGATGATCTATTTTGGAGGCACAAAGGAGATAAATAGCTCACTAGAGGCTAGACCCAATGTCTCTCTGTCTTCCCATTCCTGCTGTTGAGATATTCAGAGAGCTGGAGGAGACACATGGAGACACACACCAGATGCTTCCACTGCCACTGGATCCACAAGACCTTCTACCTACTGGCCTGTAATCTTCCTGCATTCAGCATCATTGCATGTGCTGCCTGAGTCTCAAGAGGAATTTATGGACTAGTATTGGACATCTGGGCTAATATTGGACTTAAGAACTTGACTTCAATTCTACCTTACAAATCAGATTAGACCAGAACACTCCTACTGCTACAGATAAGAGCTGCAACACAGGGAATCCAGGATAGATAAACCCCTCAGGGCCAACAATGAGAGTAAAGATACCAGGAGAATTAGGGGATGGTGGAAGCAGAAAGGGGGAATCGCTCACAAGGATCAACCTCGGACCCCCAGGGGCATGAACAATGGAAAAGTAGGGGAGGGGTGAAGGAAGACGATGTAGGATATGAAAATAATAATAATCTATAACTTATCATGGGTTTGTGAGGGGGGAGGGGAGGAAGGGGGAAGAAATGGGGAGCTGATATCAGGGGCTCAAGTGGGAAGAGAATGCTTTGAAAATGATGATGGCGGCATATGTGCAAATGTGCTTGACACACTGGATGAATGTATGGATTGTGATAAGAGATGTAAGAGCCCCCAATAAAAGTGGGGGGGTTGTTTTGTTTTTTAAAGAACTTGATCTGGACTGGGGTGGGATGTTTTCTCAATATACAATTGCTCTTTTATATAAAACTCTTTCTTAGAAACATATGGAAGTTCATGAATTTGTTTCTCTAGTCAACCCGGACCACCACAAGGGTCTTCTTCCTCTTTTCAGTCCCCTCTACTTTACCAAGCCTGGGTCTTCCCAGGGACTGGCCTTTCCGGATCACATGTCCAAAGCACATGAGATGAGGTCTCGCCTTTAAGGAACATTCTGGCTGTACTTCTTTTGAGATGGATTAGAGGTGCCTGCAATTGTTGCCACCAATCAACTTACACACTCGGATGGTTTCAGGGATTCTGTTCCTTTCCTTTAGAGCCTCGTTCTTTTTTTTGACTTGTTCAGCTCTCCCTGACACTACCCCTCCTTTTTTTTTTTTTACTGAGTTTTATTTCACATGTATATTTTTGTCTCCCCACCATTTCCATTTGTCTGACCACTGCTACTACTCTGTCCTATCATAACATTCCATACATACTTAGAACCAAGCAAAGGGTGGAGTTCCACCTCTACAAACTAAACAGGCGTTTTAGACAACACATTCTTGGCAAAGGAACCTGGACACCATTTCTCAGACACGGTAGGGCAAGTTCTCACTCTGCATTATAAAAAAGGATGGCCAGATAGCAACTGTTACAGAAACAAGACGGAAAATTTTAACAAACTGTTCAAACTATTTTCTTAAAGAGCCTTCCTCCACTGCCAGAGCTCTTGAACAGCCTCCTGGTCGGTCATTCGGAAGCCGTTCTTCACGTCATTGATGAATGTGGCTTCCACTTTAGGAAGAGAACCACCCTTTTCTATACTTGCTTGCATATTTGCTTTAATGTCTTCTACAGAGCAAGGGCCTTTCGGTGTTTGGGAGTTTTTTCCTGTTTTTTGAAGGATCCTTGACCTTTGGGTCTTGGTGTTGATGGTTTTGAGTCTTTTCCAAGCTGGTTTGATTTTTGTGCATTTTTGGCTGGAGTCTCCCATATAGATTTCTTCACTGGAGCGTTCTCTTCAGTTTCATCACCATCTTCATCGTCGCCATCATCCTCATCATCATCTTCAGCAGCAGCAGCAAGTTTTACCTTTTTCTGTGGACCCTTGTGCTTGCGGGGGCAGACAGCTTAAAAGTTTCACATCCTCTTCCTCGTCATCACCTGACTCTGCATCTCCCTCCACAGCTATAAATGCTGTCCACTACTATGCACAGGCCCTGAGCCACATGTCAACCGTAAGGCCACTGGTGGTGTTATTTCAAAGCCCCCAAGGGAGGCCGTTGGCAGTACAGACATTTTCAAAGTTGCCAGTGTTACTTTAATTGGGCTGCTTTCATAATGCATTGCTTCTGCTTCAACAACATGCAGTTCATCCTTCGTACCAGCACCTAAGCTGACCGTTCTTAAAGATAACTGGTGCTTGTTTTCATCATTATCCACCTGAAAGTGATCATCTCTGTCGGCCTTTAGTTCACAACCGAAAAGATAGTTTTTCACTACCCCTCCTTGTAAGACTATTTTGGGTCCCAGTTCTCAGAGCCTATCTTCCATTCACCTTTTGCTGGAAGAGGCTGGCTGAATGCCCTCAAGGTCACAGCATCCTTCCCCCGCCCTCCCTGGGCTCCTGGTGCTGCCCTTGTGGAGTGCAAGGTGTGGTGTCGTCGAGGGAGTCAAGGAACACACGCCTCCCTGATGTGGTTACTTCTTCTCAAGGCCTTCCAATGTTGGGCTGGCCCCTGGGGGTGGCTTCAGCTCCATGCCTGAAGGGTACCTGAGGGTCAGTCTTGAGGGTACCACTGGTCTCTGTCAGACCATGAAATGTTTTCCATTGTGCGCTACATTTTCCTTTCTCTCTGTCTAAGCCTTCCCAGTGTGAGCCTAATCAGCATGACTGGCGGTGGGGGCTGGCCACCATCTAGTTCTCCTGGTCTCAGTAAAGGAGGCTGTGTGTCACATGACCATTAGTGCTCTGGACTCCCCTGACAACAGAGGTTTGCAAGATGGCTCTGCAATAAATCAGAGTTCGGCCCCCATATGAGGGTTCAAAAGGTTCCTGAGAAGGTGGAATTAAAAGAGAATGGAGTTTTCCCACAACCTTTGGAACCCCCTGCCTTGTGTTAACCAGAGCACGTCTGAATCCTAGCTCATGTACTTTCACTGCAGAACCAAGTGACATTTCAGGAAAGAAAATATTTCAAAGATTCCTAAAAAAAACACACACAGAGCAGGTACATTTGGACTAATTGCAAATCAGAGCCCAGGAGACTGCCGAGGGGCCAGGCGTGAGGCTGTGCAGCCCGAGCAGCCGCTCAGCTTGCTGTGACTCCGAGGGAGTGAGCACGCGACGCAACACGAAACACAGCTGCCAGCGGCCAGGCTACAGTTCAGGGAAGTTGCTTGAGACAAACCCTGTGCCGGGGGAATGTTTCACTAATCTATCAACCTCTCTACTGAGATTTCCTACCAAACGCACCTGGCTCCCAGGCCTGCAGTTTTTAATCGCTGGGTCTGTTTTGGTAATTTCCTGAAGAGGGGGGTGTGAGTGTGTGTGTGTGTTTAATATATTCAACTTGCCTCAACTTTTCCCCTCCCACCCCCTTTCTTCCTGTACCAGAAGTCAGAGTTGTGGGCGGTGGCAGCAGAGGGGGCAGGGTTACCGTGCCAATGGTGGGCCTGCGACATCTCCCGCACAGCCTGCAGCCGCACAGCCTTGTCAGGAGACGTGCTTTTCCTCAGGAGCAGCCACACGGGACACTCGTGGTCAGCCACGTCCACTGTGCTGAAGGTCTCTGCGAAAACAGGGCAGCGGGAGCTGAACAGTCAAGATGCCACCTTGGCTCGCTCCCTTGCTCACTCGCTTGCCCACTGTCCACCACACCTGCTGAGGTGCCGCAGACAGGCCAGGGTGGGCAGGCAAGGCGACACTTTATTCTCACATTTAACATGATTTATGGGTAATTGGAGTCTACCGTAGAAGAGTCAAATCCATTTATACTGTCTGTAGTTCTTCTCAGTACTGCCCAGTACTTTTATATGGGTCTTACATTATATATACGGCATTGTTTTGTTATCTGTGTTTTCCCTCCCCTTCAAAAAGCCCCTCTTTATCATGAGAAATATCCAACAGATGAACTGAAAGTACATCTGAACTGAATAGTACAATACATACAACTCAAACTTACTGCCATCCACAGGGACCACAGAAGACAGGGTGGAACTGCCTGTGGGTTTTTGAGACCTTTAACTCTCTCAGAAACAGAAAGCCTCATCTTTCTCCACAGAGCTGCTGGTGGTTTCAAAGTGCTGCCCTTGCGGTGAGCAGCACAGTGCGTAAGCACCATGTGTAGTACTTTCGTGTCCTTACCAAAAGCAAGGCCAACTTTTCTAATGCAGCTTACTACATTCATGCCAGCATCCTAGTTTACAGATGACCTCTGGCTTCAGTAGCTGTCCAACGAGCCTGCCTAGTCCCTCTTCTGTCTGCATGCGTACTGAGCCCGGAGCATCCCTCCCAGAAAGGGGAAGGGCTCAGCTGCCAACTGAAGGGTGGGTGGTCTGAGCCCAGCGGCAGCTCCAGAAAAAGACCTGGAGACTGGGGACCACAGGGTGAGGTTCAGCAGGCACCCTAGGGGGGGTTCTACTCATGACGAGGCCACATGGCCGGCTGGCTCCTGATAACATT